CATTCATTGTTGTAAGCTTATACTCATGAAGGTGTGAAACTGAGTACAACCACCATTGGAATTCACACCTTCCTGGGTTGAGTACTCTTAGGACCAGATTCTAGACTATCAGCTGATCTTGTCATGACACAGCTCTGTTGAGTGTCTTCTATGACCTCTCCTTTCAAAATCAAAACATCCTGGATTATTAAACAAAACAATAAGACCACTAAAATCTTCATCACTACCTTCCCACCAGACCAGTCTGTAGCTGCACAAGTTTGTCCCTGTGGAATCTTTTCTTCTTGATAGTCAGCTAATTTCACTTTCTTGAATCGACTCATTGTCTTTGGATGACTGCATTCATGTGACTTTAAAAGGGCATATTAGTTGCTTTTGAATTGCTGAAATCAAGATACCTGAGAATAACCTAAGAGAAAGAGTTATTCACTTTGGATCTTGGTTTCAGCAGAGAATAGCAGAAAAGGCATGGCAGAACAGCTCTGTTCATAGCAGTAAAAATGTACAACAGGAGCTGTTCATATCTCATTGATCTAGGAGACAGAGCACAGGGAAATATTGTGTTGGCTTTACCCTCTTGCCACCTTTATTATTTCTGGTTGCCTAACCCCTGAATGGGGCCACCTAAGTTCTGGGCTGGTCTTCTCACTCAGCTAATTCTTTCTGAAAACACAACCAGATATGTTCTTTACCATATTCCTGGAGATTCCCAATCTAGCCAAGATGACAATGAAGATCAGAAATCACAGAAGAATGGGTCAAACCTCATCCTTGGTAACGTATCCTTCATTCTTTAGCAGCAGGGTGATAGGGATCAAACCCTACAGTCATGGACAAGCATAAAAATCATATTCACGCTGGAGATTGCATCCTTTTACTGATAGTTAGGATCTGAGACTAGTTGTGTTATAGGCAAGTCTTTTGTAATGATTTGGTTGCTACTTCTAGCCACCTATTCGCTAATTTGGTCACAACTGATCTGTCAAACTACTTTCTCAACTCATTTTTCTGTGTATTAAAAATTCTCAACGCGATGATATATGGTGCTGCCTTAGAAAGTCCTTCAAAGTGATTGATCGTCTGGGTAATGTACAAGATGGCACATCTCCTTATTTGAGAATGATCATAAACAAGAGTAGTTCCTAAATAACTACCTCAATAATTTTAAAGTAGGATCATGGCTTGTTGGCTTCAGGGAAGGCCTTTGTACAGGATAAAAGTGAGTGCATCATCCTTAATCCTCTATCTGAAATCTGTAATGAGTTCAAATAACCTTGATGTGAAACTTCCTTTTTCTTATGTTGGAGAAGCCATCCTCATTTTGAGTTTTGTCTTACTTTATCTTATTACATTTATCTAAATGTCTTACTTACATTTAGATGATAGAAGATGGCTCATGAAAACTCCTCTGGAGAACCTTCACGCTCTTTCTGGTGTTAAGTTCATAACACCAATTGCCCATCGTATGCCTTAAGTTGCTCTTAAATTCCACCCTACACCATGTGTTCCACCATCCAACTTACAGATGCATGCATTGCTCTGGAACCTACAACACAAGTGTGCAAACTGGTGTTTGTTGAGCTCTCACAAACTGGGTACCATAGTGATTATCTGTATTCATTCTCCAATATGTGATTTAGATATTCGTGTCATTCATGTTTTATGTAAAAAGAAACTGAAGCTCAGAGCCACTAAAACAACCTTTACAGCCACATAACAAAGACTTCTGGGATCCAAATTAAGAAGCATGCAATTCTCAAACCATAAGGATATACTGTTCTCTCATATATTTTCAAACAGACACTTTAAAGCTAGAAACTTAATATTTTTTTCAATCAAAAAGAGCATATGTTGTGAAACACAATTTGTAGACTCAAGTATTCAAGGTAAATAGCTGATCTAGTCCCAATTAAAAAAAAAAAACCTAGTTAGTATGCCTGCTTTTCTATCTTTGACTTATTAATTTGATATTTTTTCTTATTATAAGAAATACTATTTCTTGGTAAGTATTTCTAGATTTGGAAGTCACTATCATGACTAACTAGTTGCTTGCCTGTAAGAGCCCAGGCTAGGGCCTTGCTGCCCGTGGGTGCTCCCTAAAGATTAATGCATGGCCCTGGATGTCTGTGTGGGTGTCTTGCACTTAGGACCTGCCCAGCTCTTCTGAAGCAGCACAGACGGAGCGGGAAAATGAAAATCACAGATCACCACCCCACCATGACCACGGGGCTCTCAATCGGTCCACGTCAGCCAGAGCATCTCAAAGGCTCAGATGCAGTGGTGGGGATGCCATGCTTTCTCTCTCTCTCTCTCTTCAGAAACAGTTGAGGGATGCTGTGAAATGAGGCTCCTTTGCCATTTCCAAGACTAATATCAAAAATGAGAGAAAACTTGCTTCTTTGATGAGCACTAAGGAAAACTGAATATTTTTTAATTGACACATTTTCTATTATTATATACATATAAAGAGAATGAGTAATAAACCATATCAGATGGTTTATTCAAACTGTCAGAAGAAGGGATGAAGCATGAGTAACTCTCCAGGGAAGCATCTGTGAACAGGAGCAGTGGAAAAGATAGTGAGCAGCCGTACGTTAGTTTACTACCAAGTTATCTCTGAAAATCTCGAGGAAACAACCCCCCCCCCCGAGGAATGGTGGGGTATTCATTTCTCCAAGAGAGGAAGGAGGGCAGTAACTCCAACTTACTTCACAAAAAAGACAAGTGCTCATGTGTGTACTCACAAATGAGCCTTTGAGGAAAGTCTGGGGTCAGCCTTGGAGATCTGCAAAGGGCCTTGTCATTCTGAACAAGCAGTAATGGTCATCTGAAACCTCAGCAGACATCTAGGATGTCAGCGCCCTTGCCTGCAGTATCGAACTTTGCATTGCCATAAGAAGTTGGTGAGAAAAAGCCCCCATTTATTGCCCTTCAGGCTGGGTAGATGCACTAATATTTTGTAGAGTTTAACTCAGCAAGCTCACCAATGGCACTGACTCTTTGCATAGCTCTGTGTCTTCCCATTGTATAAGCAAGGTGAAGACCTATTTCTCAGGGCTGATCCTGTCTAATATTTCAGATTCTTATTGAAGGATTCTGTCATAAAATGAGTACCTCTAATGGGAAAATGCTCTTTGTGTTCTGGACTTTCGATGAACATTTATTTATCACTATTTTTTTTAACACTCCTTTTTATTTCCTCCCATCAGACTCCTCTTAGTAATGAGAAGGCTTTATGAATTGAGATGTCTTGGAACATGAGAGAAGGGTCTGTTTTATTAGGACATTTCCTTCCATCACAGATCACCATTTTCTCACCACAGAGAAAAAGATCTTTGAGAAACAGCCCAGAAGATGTGTTATGAGGACAGGTACTTGCATTATGGTCTGGAGAGATTGTTTTCTGTGTCTGTTACTTAAAAACTACAGAAAACGGGTAGCTCACACAAACGAGCATTTACAGAACATATATATCAAAGGTATTGATGCAGATTCATAAAAAATCTTTACCCTAAAATAGAAGTTGAGGCTTTGAGAGTTGGACTGGCTGTTCCTCATTACCAGTAGCTAGAGCGCTATCAGCACCCAGGCTGGTGGTGACAGAACAGGGGCAGCTGTACTATGGGAAAGTTAGCCCTTAGTGTTGACTCTCTCAGAAAGACCTCAGGAGCCGCTGACTTTCCTCTTGAAGGAATCAAGGAATCTGTTTGTATGTCTGCTCACTTGACCTTTCTTTGTTTTGCATTAGAGAAAAAGGGACTTAACTGCTGGGGTGGGGGACAGTGAGGAAGGGCTGCAGAATCTTGAAGGAGATGCCATGCTGTGGAGCCTACGGGTGAGACCAGCATCTGATGACAGTCACCCAGGAGGCATTACTTGCTTATCGTATTACTATTTGTTCCTGCTTCTCATTTCAGATTCTCACCCTGTTGTAACTGCATTCCCTGCCATCATTCCGTACTGACAAATAAATGTCATCCATGCTTGATTGGCATCTATTGCACCAGAATGTAGAAGTATGAATTAGAAATCGATTCTACTTAGGCATTTAAAACCATTCATATGTGTCAAATGTAGCCATTGGTGAGATAATTCTCCTAATACTCTGGTAGCCTTCTACTGAGATTCTAAATTCAGCTGGTCTCTTCTTCCAGCTCTTCCATTGTTGTGGTGGCTTTTCTTTGTCATGATTTCCCCGTTTTCCCTCCCCCAGTGCCCACCTGGGAATGCTGCTATGGCACCTACAGAACTCCGTGTCTTTGTGAAACACAGCACTTTTGCAAACATCACTTGCTCTGCTGTGAGATCTTCGAAGACACTCTGACAGGTGATGCCATCTCCTGAATGTTGTACCTTTAAGCAAATGCAACCTCGAGTCCGATGGCGGTATCTCCTGAAGGGCCGCCGCGATTGGAAGCGTGGAAGTTAAATGATGCTCTCACCCTTGTGTGGCACTTATGAAAAGAACCAGCCCTCTTCCTTTTGGGGGGTGGACAAGTTCATTTAAACCAAGAAATGTCCTTTGGTTTTTAAATACACCTCACTGTTCTCAGGATAACATCTTATTTCATTTAGAAGGCTGTGGAAGCAAATGCTGAGGTTAAAAAAATGCACATCTACTGTCTGGAAAATTGGAGAGGGGCCTCCTTATGTTAAAAGTGGCATTTTGAAAAACACCTGAAGCACTGATTGTGGATGAGCCAGGAGAGAAATGTTGTCACCAAACCTCCCTCCTTTCAACCTTCACTTCCACCTCCAACAAGAGCTGTTGGCACCAGGGAGGTAGATTTAGGTGTGACCCCTGAGTCCCGAAAGCTGCCGCGCAGCTGTCTCCCTCCCCTAGCACGTCCAGCCAGGGCGCTGCCATCCTCTGGGTTAGACAAGGGAGTATTCAGGATTTCGCTGTTCATCCCTTGCGAGGGGGGTGCGGGGGGAGAGAGGCCGAAAAAAAAAAATCCCACATTGTCAGAGTAATGCCAAACTCCGTGTGAGTGGGATGAGCAGAGCAGATGCTGCAGAGAGGTGCCAAAGCGGCTCCCCTTCCTCTGTGCCTTGGGTTCCTATAAATTGCTCCGGCGCGCGTTTGTCAGCCTCCTCTTCTCCTGGCAGGTGGTACCCAGGCAGAATCCTGCGTTCAGCCTCTCTCGTTCGGCTCTCGCCGCTGCCTGCTAGCTCCTCTCTCCCGTCCTGAGCCTCCCTGAGCCGCGGATCCTGCGAACCGCCGCCGCTCCGCGCATCTCGGGAGCGCCGCACCCGAGCTCCCGCAGCCCACCGGGGGGCTTCGGGGTGAGCTTTTATTGGACTTGTCGTGGCTGCAGAGGAGGAAGCAAAAGAACGAAAAGCAAAAAAAGGCAAGGGACAGGCGAGCACAGCCAGCGAAAGAAAAGAAGCAAGAAGCAAGGGGGAGGACAAAAGAGCAACTTCAGACGGAAAGTTGATGTGAACTGGCGTAGTCTGCAAAAAAGGAAAAAGTCGATCGCGGGCGGCGGCGGCATAAAAGTGCGAGCCGCCCCGGGCGAGCGCAGGAGGCAGCCGCCGGCTCTGCCCTTCGGGTGGCCGCGCCGGCACCCGCCGCAGCCACAGGTGCGAAGGGGTTGGCAGGAGGCGAGAGGGCGCCCTGAGCACCCCACCCCCAGCCCCCACTCTCGCTTGGGACTTCAGCTCAAGTCACTTGGTGCCCCAGCTCCCTCCCTAGCCGCCACCTCAGCGGGGGGAGCAGGAGCCGGCGAAGAGCGGCCGGCGCGCGCCCGCCCAAGGGAGTTGGGGTTCGAAAGGGGATTGTTTTCGGCTCTGAGGAGGTCCCCGCCCAACCTTCAAAATTTTGTCCAAAAGCAGACAAGAGGATCGGCCCGCGCTGAGCCGGCTCGTGGGCAGCAGGAGGCGCCTGATCGCTGCCGGGGCGCTGGGGGTGGTGATGGTGCTTCTGCTGGTCATCCTCATCCCGGTGCTGGTGAGCTCGGCCGGCACGTCGGCGCACTACGAGATGCTGGGCACCTGCCGCATGGTCTGCGACCCCTACGGGGGCACCAAGGCACCCAGCACCGCCGCCACCCCGGACCGCGGCCTCATGCAGTCCCTGCCCACCTTCATCCAGGGTCCCAAGGGCGAGGCCGGCAGGCCGGGGAAGGCAGGCCCGCGAGGACCCCCAGGAGAGCCGGGACCACCGGGCCCCGTGGGGCCTCCGGGTGAGAAGGGCGAACCGGGCCGCCAAGGCCTGCCGGGCCCACCCGGCGCGCCCGGCCTGAACGCGGCCGGGGCCATCAGCGCGGCCACCTACAGCACGGTGCCCAAGATCGCCTTCTACGCCGGCCTCAAACGGCAGCACGAAGGCTACGAGGTGCTCAAGTTCGACGACGTGGTAACCAACCTCGGGAACCACTACGATCCCACCACGGGCAAGTTCACCTGCTCCATCCCCGGTATCTACTTCTTCACCTACCACGTCCTGATGCGCGGAGGGGACGGCACCAGCATGTGGGCTGATCTCTGCAAAAACAACCAGGTGAGCGCGGGCCGGCAGCGGGGAGGGCGGGGAGCGAGTGCGGGGAAGGTGCTGGAGAGAGGGAGGAGACCCCGGAAATGAGGGTGGGAGCCCGCGGAGGAAGGGCGCGGCAAGCCGCTCCGGGGCGACGGGGACGCTGTACAGGCAGGGGAGGTGGGGGTCCTAAGCGGAGGAGGGCTCCCCGCAGTCCGGGGAAGTAGTTCTAGGATGTCAGACCCGTGCTCGGGGCGTGCACTCGTGAGCATGACCCTCCAGAGGTGAGAAACTGATGTCTTAGCCCCGGGGACAACTCGTGGACTAGTGGAGTCCTGGAGCAGGGCAGGATTCCTGGCCCGTGGCATCCTCAGCAGCTCAGAAGGCTGCAGGAGCCCGAAATGGGCGTGTCAAGGCTTCAGACTCAGAGAAGATAGACCCGGACTCCGGGGATAAAGGAAGGACCCAGGAGTGAGTCTCAGACAGGGCGATCCCGGGCTCAGACAGCACTCTCCCGCGCGCGCGGAATGGCATGGCCCTTGAGAGGTCTCTGGTGGTGAAATTCAGAGTCACTACACTCCTGTAAGTTTCCAAATGGAAAGCAAAACGTTGGGTTTATGCTGTAAAAGTACAGCAGCTCGCACCCAAAAACGGAAATCCCCACTGCACGGTGGTTTGGGGTAGGAAAATGCACAAGGGGATGGTCGGGCAGGTGGCCTATCAGAGCTCAGCCCTTTCACCACCTCCAGGGCACCGTGGTACAGGCTCTTCCTAACCTTAGCCTTTTTGATCACAGCTGCCTTGCCTTGGCTTGGCTGCAAAATAGCCTCAGCGGAGCTCCCAACCAGGATCTGCTCTTCAGAGCTGGTAGGTAGTGCCGCAGGGGCCACTGGTCAGCACTGTCGGCCAAGGCTGCTTTGGCTTTGTTGCAGTCAGGTCAGTGCAAAGCCGAAGCATCTTTGATCCTTTAGTCACAGGGGGAAAATACATTTCCAAGCACCTAAAAGTGTAATGGGACCCTGGCGAGGCCTTTGGGCTTGTAGCCTGCTGTGCTGTTCTGAGCCCTAAAGTTTTCTTACTGACTGATAGGAAGAAAGACCCTGCCTGCAACCTTCAAGATTCCTCATTCCATGCAGCAGTTTTGACTAAGCAAAGCATGGTGTGCTCCAGGTCTTTGTTCCGGTGGAAATTCAGGTCTTAGCTAAACCCTTATTTTCTTTCTACAGCGCACCTTTAGGGCTGTTCTCCTCTCTTTCTTTCTTTCTTTCTTTCTTTCTTTCTTCCTTCCTTTCTTTCTTTCTTTCTTTCTTTCTTTCTTCCTTCCTTCCTTCCTTCCTTCCTTCCTTCCTTCCTTCCTTTCTTTCCTTCTTTCCTTCCTTTCTCCCCCCCCCTCAATTTAGTGTCAGAATTCTTTCACCGGTAGAAGAGGGATGTCCTAAAGGCATGATGCACTTTTAAAAAGTCCCTTGCTGCTGCTGCTTCTTCTTTTTCCTACAAATCCCTTCAAGAACCTCCAGGACACTAGGAATGAAAAAAGGAAACATGGCCACCAGGAGGCACTGACAGGATTGTTTGTCACAGTTATTTTGCATGAAAATAATATTAAGAGAAATAAAAATTCTTCCCGGAATAGTGGGCTAGGTAGTTGCAGGTATGTGGCTACAAGGGGCATGGCTCAATATGCTAAAATAGAGGGGCTGTGTCTGGGTGACCAAAGGATTTGTGAACAGCCCCAAACAGCCCCAACAAGGCACCTCTTTATTGCGTCTCTGTGACTCAAAGGTTATGTCTGTAAACACTACTATACTAAAGAGATATTTACAAAATGTCTATTTCGTCAACAAATATAGAAATGGTAATTGTAAAAATATCTGGAGATTGCAAATGCAGGAAGCAGCTCAGCTCTTGAAGTAGCTCAGAGGTTGGTGGTCAGGTGGCAGAGCCTGTGCATATACCAGTGAATAGAAGAAAAGTATTTGGTACACAAGTTCTAAAATTAAAATGTTCGTGTGTTCTGCTTTTTAAACTCTTTCACTGGGGCAGACGCTGCTTCTTGTATCACTAGAGTATACAGAGTCTATGGGGATCAGGAAAGTAAGTGGGTGACACACTTGTAAAGTTCTTCACTGGCTGCTTTTCAAGTGGCTGCTTCTTCGAAAAGTAGGTAACAAGTAATTCAGAAAAATATATGCATAGTGGTAAACAACATCCTTCTGAGTTCAGTGTTCATCATCTTAGAAAATGACTATTGCAATATTACAGCTGAGGAATTTTGTCTTTAGAATAAAAGAGTTTTGTAAAGTCTGGCTACAGCCCAGTGCCAAGTGGGAAATCTTGTAAAAATCTCTTTTTTATTAATTTTAAAATAAATACTTTATTCTTGATATTCAATTATAGTCTGTATGGTTGTTTCTTAGAGTCACAATTCCCCCTCTGAGATGACCTAATTTGTTTTTATAAGACAGAAATGCAGAGATCTATGTCAGAGTGATGCTCTATGGATTAGGTGGATTTGAGAAGCACAGAAATTAAACAAGGGAAGAATGCAATTTTTCGCAGTAGTAGGGAACAATGTCTCTGGATCAAAACCATATGAAGACTATCTTATTTATACTTTGTGCCGAATATAAGGTCACAGATGGAACCATCAAAGGCCAATAAATTAACCTGATGTACCACTTAACCTTTTGTTTATGGTTCCACGGGAGTACAATGAAAATGAAATTACCAGAACATCAGCAGCAGTTAATTAAATTAGCAAATGTTGCTGTGAATATTTCATATAATGATAATTCCTCAATAATAAGACAATGCTAAAACTATACTGCCTATTATATTCTTACAAACATATTGTTCTCTATAAAGGACCACAGTTCTCAAAGTCCCCATGAAATCATTAGCCTATACTTAATCATATCATTTGTTGAAAACGCATCACTGTGTATATTAAAGGTAAAAATGGGGCTCAAATAGCTTTATATAGATACAGGAAAAAGTCCTAATGCTTGTATACTTGTAGCTGAAAACCTGAAAAAATAGTTTCTGACCAGTTAGTATAATGTCATTGTAGTAAGCCACCATAATAAAAACTAAATTGCCAGAAACTTAGTCATATAAAATAATTAGGGATAAGCTTTTCACTTACAGGAATTTGTTAGTCATGGTAGCAGTGGCCATAAACTACATGGGAACAGGTGAATACCGTGTGCTTTTATATTCGTTTATTAGGGTGATGATGTGCCGTGCCAAATTAGTTCTCTCTCTAAAAGCAGAGAAATGCATACTAAAGACAAAGTAGAAAAATGTACAGTTAACACACTAAGAAAAGATATTAAAGTGAATTTAGGCAGAAATAGGAATATTGGACCGAGAAAAAGATGCATTATACTCCCTGACAAAATGCTGAAATCAGTGCACATTTAGGAATCTGAAAATAGCCCTCAGGGTGAACACATTACCTTCCTCAATAGTTTGATGGCTTCAAGGAAGAATTGCTGAAGTCAGTGGGATAGATATGAGAGCTTGAAATTCCAAGTCCCATTATACTCTTAGAGTGTGATGGGTGGACAGGCATATTGACACCATGGACACTGGCAGATGGTGGGCATTTAATTGGGAAAGTCCTGTACTACTGCATAGGTTAAAATGTTAGGAAATTGCTTTTTATTATAAAGCCCTCACACTGGTTTTATTCAACAAAGGAAATAAAAAGTGCTAAGGACAAGCTTCTAGTGTGTGGAATCACATTAATGCATTACCAGGTTTCTGTGGTTTTACTTACTGAATTAAAAATGGTAACACTTGGTTTTGTGGTTATGTTCTATAGAACAAAAACTGCATTGTATATTTTCAAAGGATTACAGTCTCTAAATCAAAGATTTCAATGAGCCTGGATCCTAAAGGTTTCATGTAGAAAACAATGAAAATGGACAACATTCAAAGAACATATAAAAAAAATACCCCAAATGCTGAATATACTGTATTCTCTTTAATAATAGCTGAGAAGTAAGTTTGATGATTAATCAACATATTGCTCATATAGATGACTGTTAGTTTGTATTTTAATATTTCACATCCATTAAAAAATTCACATGTTCTAAAAGTCAAGCTTTAATGATAATATTCTCACTGTTTAGATTTTCTTCACTGAGAATTAATAACTAGATGAATGAAGGAAGGAAAGCCTTCAGCTTCTCCAAATTGAAGATTAATTCCTAGGAAATATTATGAAGTCCAACTGCATCATTATGTAACAGCTAAAATGGATCACCTCACTAGTGTATACATTTGAAGCAAAGCTTTTGAGTATAATCACACAGCATATTGGTTTCGTGATATTAATGCCAGTTAGCATAGTGATAAGCAATTCTAAATCCTTTAAGCCCTTCTCTCCTTTTGCTATATGACACCCAGGAAGAAAAAAAATGTTAAAATACTACTCAAATTACATTCCAAGTTCAGTGGTGTCAAAGAGCCTTCTCCTTTTATGACATTTCAGCATTAATGTGAGAACATATCTTCCCATGAAAATTTAATTTGAAAACCCATCATTTACATCTTGAAAGACATGCATGGAAATTCTTGACTTATGTCTCATTTCTTTCATTTTGCCAAGTGATAAAACCAGGCATATTATACCCCAAGTCATACATTATTGCATAGTGCAGGTTTACAAAACCACTTAATCATTTGCTATGTTATTCAGGGAAATATCATTATAGTGGAGCCGAAACAAGCCACAGCATAGAAGATGTGTTACTGAAATAAATCACACACAAGCCTGCCTTTTGAAAGATTATTCTATAGCAGAATCAAAACATGTCTAAATGAGGCTGAAGCCTGGTTTGAGGAGGGAGTATGACAGAGTGTCCATATGACATGATATGATAGGCAATTTGACTGTTTGCAAATGTTGATCAACTCACTAATGAGGCGAAGGCAGAACATAAGCAGATTATAGTCTGCTCTGGTCCTCAAAGCCAGACACACTGACAATCACATAAACAGGAAGAGCTATTCAACAGTACCACCCAGAAATCCTAGGAAATTGAGCGATCTCAGGTCACAAATTTAATTCCTTCTATAGCTTTTGTATCTGGTGAAATTAAATTGTTGTTTTAGAGGCACATATAACTAAATGACAAGAGGGCACAGAAAAGTAAAAGGAAGTTTGGAAATGTGGGAGATATAAACAAAGATGTTTAAATGAGTTAAGCTGCTTCAGAAGTAGCCTGGATAAAAGGGGCTTTGCTTATATCAGATTTCCAAAGCTCTAAACCAAAAAGCTTTCTTTATTTTCCCTTGTATGTAGAAGCAGAAGGGTATTTCCCTGGGTCTTTTGACACTTGAGACATCAAATTTCTAATAATTGTGATGAGCCATTGAAGTACACAATTAGTTGGAATGTTGCTATTTGTCTTAAATTAAAATGCAAAACAATACTGCCATTTCCATTTCAAAATGTATCTGTATATGGAGATTCAAGGAATCAGAAAAAGCAGCAATTGAAGAGGAAATTAGATTGGCATGCTTTATTTACAAGGATAGAAAAGATTGCTGCAATGTCCCTTATTAAAGCAACATTTTTCTGTTTTATCTAGTAACATAGTTGAAGTTGTTACAGAAATTCCTTCTATATCTATGGGACCAAAGGCAACATCAGTGTGCTACATTCTATGCGATGGCCGCAAGTCTGCAAAAGGCGTAATTTAAGGGTTCTCTTTTACAACCTCTGATTCTTGTCTGTTTCACGTAGGTGCGTGCTAGTGCAATTGCCCAAGATGCTGATCAGAATTACGACTATGCCAGTAACAGTGTGGTCCTTCACCTGGAACCAGGGGATGAAGTCTATATCAAATTAGATGGTGGGAAAGCACACGGAGGAAACAACAACAAATACAGCACGTTCTCCGGATTTATTATTTATGCTGACTGATACTGCAGAAACTGAGCTTGCTATGCTGAGTTTGAACGCTGGACTCGTGTGGCTAACGTCAGTGAATCAAGGATCCCGGGGTGCTCATTGCAGGGCATCTCAGCTGTATAAATGTGGGGAGATCAAATGCTACCTGACTCACATCTGTACCACTCAGACACATTATGTAAAAAAAAAAAAAAGTATTTAACGCAAGATAAGCAGATGTGTGATCCACTACCGCCAAAGCAAATACTCCTTATTGTTAGTGTCCATGTGAATGAAGTCCTATATAGACCACAAATTTTTATAGAAAAATCTAAGACACTGAATTATTTCTTCGATATCTATGATACTTTGGTGTACTGTGATCTTGCTGCTTTTATCCATGTGTCAGCTTTGGTTCTTGTGAGTTTAGCTGCTTATTAAGATACTTGGAGTCTATTTGTAGTGTGGGGAGGAGTCATTTTGCCCTGCAGGAGAAGGTCTAACTGAAGTAATGCTGCTTGTCCCCAAAGATATTGTTTGCCTTGTACTCTTGTTAACTTTAGAGCTAGACCTGGGAATGAGTCAACTTCAAGCCTTAACCTGAAATTTTCTGGATTTGTGGAATTTCCCAAGCCTGTGATCATTTTCACATTTTTTTTTCTTTTCACGTGAATTTTCTTTTCTCTCTTTTCCGGTGATAGTCTTTAAAAAAATAGAGATTGAAATTGTATCATAGGATTACCCTCTAAGTGTGAAAATGTGTAATTATGTATGGTATTTAAAAAAAAAACCCATGTGTCCATTTTGTCAACAGACTCACTTGAACAGCCAGAAAAAGTTATTCTTTGGAACAAAGTCAGATGGAGATTTTGCCTTCCTCAATTGTTCATAACCTAAGGCACAAAAGTTTGATTTGAGCTAATGCATGCGTCACCAAGGCGACACTAAGTAAGGCCTTCAAACAAATATCACAAATCTGTGTCCTGTGGTATTTCGAAATTAACAGTTTCACATAGAACCAATGACAACAAAGTGTATATATTTTATATAAATATCTGCCACACACTTATTTATATACATATATGTTAGATGAAATATTATATATACATGGTTTCAGGCCACTGGGCACAGTGGCTCTATAGCTCAAAAAACTAATTTAAAAACTATATATGTGTGTACACACAGAACCACGCACAAATTATTTGACTTATTTTAGATTTAAATATATTTTAGATGATACAAATATATAGAGTAGGAAAATAATAAAAGTTACTTCTCTTTAAGAGTCATCCAGAAAATGAAATCTCAGTAGATTCAAATGCCCTATGTTCCCCATGTGTGAGTTAGTTGAGCCCAGGGTTACTGTAGTCCATATGCAATCAATGCTTTAACTCCATTCTCTGGGAGACCACAGGACTTCAGGAAGGGGGCAGTTCTCCTTCACAATGTTTATGAAACATGCCCATTTGAATAGTCAAGTCTTTCTTTTCTTTTGCTAGTATAGTGCAAACCCATGCTCTCTAGTGAAAGCACACTGCCAAAAGCCTCCTCTTTAGTGAAAAGAGCGAAATGCATGCGGGTATGTCCTACTAGCACACAAGTTCTCCTCTTACAATGAAAAATCTGTTCCCCTTTCAGTTGCCTTTAAACAAACACTCTTTGACAAGTAGATTTCAAAACGAGAGATTTTAAAAATCTGCTTGCTTTCCTGGGGAAGGACATTTGCATTTTTCCCTCTAAAGGAGTTGGGTTTGTTCTTTTGGCTCATTTTACTTTAGTACTTTTTGTTCTAATACACAGAGAGCTTGATCAGCTATGATCAACTGAAATAGCTTTAGTTTAGCAAGCTTTGACTTTCCAAGAGTTATGCATGGTGTTCCCACCTAAGGGTGGTGCGTGCTGTGTTGAAACGCCTTGGTCTGAGTAACTGTCATGATTTTTATGATAAAAACACTTAGATCATGCATCGAGAGTAGTGACTAATTCAATTTGGCTCTTCTAATATGTAAGGTAACTCACAAATGAATTGTCACAGTTTTAATTTCTATTTAACAGCATATATTTATCAAAGATGGATTGGCAGCAAGGGATTAGAGATTTGTCTTAGGTACCAAATCACATAGTAAGGATTCAAAGGATCAACTTATAAGCAACACTTACATCAATTAAGTGTTTTAACTAACATTTTGAAAAGGCTTTATTAGCACAGAACGTCATGGCTGGATCTCTTCTAAAGAGTTGTGTTTACAAACAGAATGTCATTTTCAATAGACCTGACCTTTTCTTTAGATAAATAAGCATTATTTTCTCTGTCTAGGCCTAAGGAAAAAAGAAATAAAAGGTAAATGAAATAAAGAGACTATATATAAGGCAAGATTTCTTTTTCTTTGCATTATAACATGAATTAATTAAATTGTGGCCTTTGTTATTATAACTGTAATGATTCATTAAACTATATTATGTAATATATTTTTCCTTTTATGATTGTATTTTTGTAATTCACTATTGTTATGGGTTCTTAGACAGACTTTGCAAAAACATAACACAACAGCAAAAATGGAGACCAGAAAGCCAACATCAGCAAAACCGATTTATTATAACTTTACACAGATAGGTGGAAACCACATAGTTAATCTTCCAAAATAATTTTGTTATTGTGAACTGGTAATCTTATTGCAGTCTCCTTTGGGAAAAAAAAGTCTCAAAATTTAACTTCCCTTGTTGCAAAAGTGATTTTAAAATGCCACATTATTCATTAAGCATTAATTAAAGAACAGCAGGATAATTAGTAGGATCATCAATATTACAAGAAACATTAGAGTGCTCCAGAAGGGGGCAACTTAGCTAGAAACACTTTAATTTTTCTCAAGTAGTACAGATAAGAGGAGGGGGGGGGGAAGACATCCTAAATGATTCTTAGGGGATATAGCTTTAAATTATTGTTTGGAAACACACTCTTCTATGTTTATTTTATTAAGGAAAGACAATAGGACTCACGTGAGCCTAGGGGTCCCCACTAGAGATTTCCCTGAGATAGTTATCTGGCTTTTCATAGGAGGGAAGTGATCAGTCATTGGTCCTGTGTAGCTTGGATTAATGCCCCCAATAGACTTGAAATCACCAAATATTCTTGGCAAATTTTCTTCTCTGGGTCTGGGTTCATGAACAGCCATTTATTTAAAAGTCAGCCATTGCTTAGGGTTTTCTATGAGTATCTTATCAAGTACCCTCTCTGTTATACCTCTCAGGAGCATCTTAGGAACAATGTTGGTGAGTATATGCGAATAGCCATGACCTCCATACTTCATCAATCGGTGCTTCGTGTGTATGTCATGCGCCATGAGAATCCGATCTTCGTAGCCCTCATCCACCAGGAAATGGACCCTGTAGAAAAGTATTAACTCATTACATGCCAGCAGTTAATTGCTGGTGCTGCCTTTTACTCCTGAACCTACTGCCTTTTCCTGTGGCATCTATCCCAGGCTATTCCAAATGTACACTGTGGTGTGGAAATGCAGGTGTTACTTCATGCTAGTATGAATGAGATCCTCACTTTGTGCACACAGAAATTCCCACCCAGTCATATGTTTGACAGTATCTGGCAATGCTGTGTTAAGGACAGCTTCCAGAGCTTAGGCTATTTGAATGAATGGCCACCATAGCTGTTCACTGATAATTTCGTTTGTCACTCCTCTTTAAAAATGCTTGTATTAGACTTAATTTTGAGATAACACTCTTTCTTTCTCTCTTTAAAGTCAATGGGCATTTGTGATTAAAATATAGAAACAAAAGGAATCTTCATATGAATAAAACACTTCAAGTAAAATCAGCTGGTTTTCAAGGGCAGGGTATGTGCATGTCATTATATAGTCAATGAAGATGGGTTGGAAAAGTCCTCTATATTCGAGCCATCTGTCCCTCTGAAGTCTACAGGAATTTTGACTTAGTAGTAGTTTCTGAGCAATAGATGAAACTGACCAAAACTTTTTAGTCTATCTTCCTTGTCAACAAGGCTGCTAAAATAGCAAGCTGTTCCTTTAAATCCATAGTCAGTTGACTAAAAGACAGCTTCCTGGCTGTAAAAAAATGTAATCCTCTTTGCCTAGTTAAGAGCTGTAATCTGCAGCATGAGTCACCTCATGACAGCCACCATCTGTATGTGTCTGCACTCTGGGCAGTGTCTGTCCCTGACCACAGTGGGCCTTTGATGTCAGAGGTGCAACTTGCAAACAATGGCTTTTCTTTGGGATGCTTGTACAGTCTTGTGAGTATCAAGAGTACCAAAATGATGTAGGTGGATGGCTCATGCTCTTCCTCTGGGGGTTGACTATCTGAAAGGTTCTTCTTTTGTTTTAATAGGTAGAACGGAACATTTCTTTGAATTCTCAGGCAAAGATCATATTTAGTAACTACTGTAGCACTCATAGGACGCTACACACAAAAATACAAGGCACAAAAGCGTGCCCTCTGAGAACCTTAAAATAAGTCACAATTAAATACCAGACTGATTTGAAGGTCAAAGGAATGTAAGTGCCAGAGAGAAGAGCCTGTCTGGGTGCTTGGTGAAGAAAGCAGCATCCAGCAGGCACACAAGGATGCCATGCCTGCTTTACAGCTGCATGGCACCCACAACCTCATTTATGCCACTGAGGTTATCTGGCTTGTTAAAACTGGTCCAGAAGTCCTGATCTGTAGTTACTTTTGAACAAACTGTAATTCAGGAGATTAGCTAAGAGTGTTATACAACCATTTAGCATACAAAGGGAAAAGCCTGACAGAGAAGTGTGTGAAGCTGAGCCTCAGAATGATACTGATCAGAATGTAAAGTTATAGTAAGGGGAGCTTTTGGGATGTGCTTGCTGCCTGCTTGATTTTCCAGAGCAGGTCCCAAGGTCTTACACCTTTCCTTACTGTCTGAGTACTGTGCTGCAGCTGTAGCTCAGCAAGCAGGTAGCACTCAGGCCTAGTGTACCGTAGGCCTAGCCTCGGTCTTCAGCACTGCCTAAGAAAGAGCAGTGGAGGCACACAAGTCTAATGTAGTCCCACTCCAGAGGCTGAGGTTGGAGGAGCTGGAGCAAAGGGGGACTTTAGGCTCCACCTTGTCCTCAGGCCACTCTGGGCCCACCTGGGCTACTTCAGATTTTTTTTTTTTTCAAAACAATAAAAGAAAAGCTGGGTCATTCCTCTTCAAGCTCAGGATGTAGCTCAGTGGTAGAGCGGTTGCTTCTCTGAAAATTTTGATGTATCATTATTGCCATGACATACATACAAACAAATCCCTATAACACACCTCTGTCCCACCTTGAAACACAGTGTTCTTAAATTGGGAAGTCATAGGAAAGAATATGATAGATAGAAAGGTTGTAATTCAAAATGAGAATCCTATAAAAATGTAACACTACCCCAGAAAAGAAGAGAAATTTGGAGTCCTTCTCTCTCTATTTTGGCTAAACTATGAATAAATTTATTTCCTGGGGCGGGGGAAGGCGGGAACAAGAAACTCTTAGACATCACCATGCAGTGAGGGCTCCAGAGCTGTGCTATCTCATGAGCACAGCAATGTTCTAGCTCTGGAAACATCATCATATGCTGGCCATGATTGGAATGTGCCTGGACATGCCTGCCCCAAGAGTTCGTCTCTCACGGTATGCTCACGGTATGGCACCATGCAGAAGAACAGGAGTTACAAAGAAGCCGCCAGAAGGGAGGAACCACTACAGATGACAAGACAAAAAACCACAGTAATTACAGCAATACAAATGAGTTCATGGTTTGCAAACAAATATTAGAGAGAAACTACAAAGTGTGAAAAGGCAGAGATATAATAAGATTTGAGAAATGGAGCATAAGATTGAAAACAGGTGTTAGACACAGAATTTCTGGTGCTGAGAACCAGAGGTAGGCAGAAGCTGTGTCTCTGTTCCTGAACGCGGGAGGCTGCAGATTCCCGTAGCCAAGAAAAACTGTCGATGAACTGTGCAAAGCAAGTGCTCAACTTACAGGGACAGTGGGGGTCAGGAAGACCGCACGACCCCAAAGGCCGTTCAGTTGTTATCACGAGCCATAGGCACAGGGAACACATGCAGAGTCTTGGTCCACAGACAAGTAAGCAAGAAATACACACGCACACACGCAGCATATACAGATGTTTTTATATTTACACACACATACGTTATTCAACATTTAATACATAAGAACGCTTACATTTGGCACAATAAGAGATAACTTAAACAAGTTTTGTTCCTGAATTAATAGCCCAAAGAAAGACTAACCTGGAAGCCATCAACCATTTTCCCATTACCCTAGAGGCTTGGGAGCCTCACAGCAGGCATCCTGGGCAGGGGACACACTGAGCTTTAGGAATGAAAAGCAGATCTGGAGGGGAAACTTCTCATTTCCAAACTGATTTTTAAAATATTGAGGATTTATTGAAGATCTATTTGGAAAACAATTGTGTGTGTGTGTGCACCTGTGTGTGGGTTTACGCACAACTCATGCTTGCAGGGGCTTGTGGAGGTGAAAGAAGGCATCAGATCTCCTGGAACTGTAGTTATAGGTGGTTGTGAGTTCCTAAAGAGGGTGCTGGGGGTCAAACCCAGAACTCTATAAGAGGGGCGCTGTTAACTGCCAAGCCATTGCTCTAGCCCAGTGTTTTGTTTTGCTTGTTTCGTTGTAAGATAATGACTTTCTGCAGCACATTATTTTAAAATCCAAGTCTTCGGACAAAGCAGGTTCACCTTTGAGTATGGCACAAGTTGGCAGGGCCTTAAGTAAACCTCTTTGTCCATACTAGTTGTGTTCCTGATCACAGAAATTAAAATCATGAAACAAAATAAAAGAAACAACAGAGTCTGGAGAGATGGCTCAGCAGGCAGAGTGCTCAGATCTTCAACAGCCACATAAAGCAGGTAGGCAGCTATGGTGGCCCACTTGGAATGCCAGCCTTGGCAGGCGGAGGGAGGGGATCCCTGGAGCAAGCTGGCTAGCCAGACTAACTGAATCAGCAAGCTCTGAGATCAGCAAGAGACCTGCTCAGTGGAGAGCTATGAGGAAGATACTCATCCTACAGGCCAGGCATACACAAAGGGAACAAAATGAGGAAATGAATTCTGCTTGCTAAAGAACTAGTTCAAGTACCAAAACCAAAAAAGACAGCTTTGTTGTCCAGGTTGGAGGAAGTAGTTTGCTTACATGGAATAATCTTCACTTCACACAACGAATTCCACCTAACGACGCTGAAGTACAAGCAGATGCTACTGAGGTCACTGTAGACAAATGCCAATACATGGTAGTGTAGAAAAGCACAGAGAGATGAAGGTCGCCTTCCCGAGGATCAATCTTGAGCATGAATGACACAAACATGGGCTTGGGATGTTCCCCGCAGCCCCACAGCGTGCATGTTCAGCTGCTGACGCTGTCTCGGCTTGTGGACACTGCTCCTTAAGTCTAGTTTTGCTTACTCCCATCCCACAACTTTTCTACTCAGATCCCATCTTTTTGTCCTTGCTATCACAGGCTCTCTGTCCCTGAAGTCTTAATCTCTGGTTTCCCATACTGGTCTTATCAGCTCTTTGCACTGTTTCCACTTGCCCTGCTCTACCGTGTATACATACCAACTTCTTTAAAGTCATCAGTTTAACTTTTCTGTTATGTTCTTCTTAAATATGTGAATATTTCTTCAGATGCCTTACCTCCAGCTTTGACTCTCTGACCCTCATTCAATCCTTCCTCTGTTTTCCTGACTATCAACTGTATCTTTCCAATAAAAGACCTTGGGCACTGGGGCCAAGCCTCAGATGGGTCTCAGAGATATGCGTCCAGCCCAGCAGACATTCCTATTCCCAATGAGACCTGGCCTTAAATCTATTCCTTCTTTCTTGAGAAGTAATCATGTCTGCCTTGCAGAAGACTGGAAAGCACAAAGGTATACAGCCTCAGTTCTTGATCTTCTTGTTAAGATGTTTATCTGTATCAACATTGTCTGCTCCCATTTCTCCCAATGAAGGCAGAACTACTCTCAACTTTCTTTTTTTTTTTTAATTTTTTTTTTTAGTATTAGTTACAGTTTCTTAACTTTGTATCCCTGATGTATCCTGTTCCCTCTTTCCCTCCCAATACCACCCTCCCACCCTCATCTCCTCCCTGCCCCTTTCCAAGTCCACTGATAGGGGAGAACCTCCTCCCCTTTTATCTGATACTGTCAACTTACTTTCTAATCACTCCCCAAACCCTACCTATTTATCTCCTTAAGAGGCTGGATCAATATTATATTTCCAGTATTTTTGAGTGAACATTCATTTAACATTTCCATATTCAGTACCATACATTCATATAAAAACTCTGCATATTGTATTTTATATCAATTCTATATCAATCTCTTAGAA